TGCAAAGCTCTCCTCCAATGCATATGAAATTGTAAGCTTTGCAAGCTACTGTTTTTTTTAATATATTCATATTTATAAAATGTGAAACTTTTGTGTGAAATAATTGCATGAATCATTCCTCATTCCTAGAATATCATGAACAAAGGAACAGAAGATTAAATGTTTCACACGAAGCCTGAGAAAAAGATGAAACACGTGAAGCAATGCAGGGAAAAAATGATGTCAGCATCTTGGACACAATTTCTACAGAATTTTCTTCAGAAGGGGAACTCCTAAACCGGATTCAGAACGTTCAAAGCAGTAATATATCCTAATTAAAAAATCGACGCCTCTTCGGTCCGTCGCCTCGAAGCATCCGTTGTCTCGAGATGCTTCGTTCTTATGGCATGCTGGAAACGCAAGCACGAATCGGAGGAACAGCAGAGTAAGAAGAAGGGGACTCCCGGAGCTGGCTCGTTAACTACGAGAAATATTGTGACAGTTATGTCTGCACCACGACACGTCTCCTTCTTCTCTGATCCGTCGTCTGATCATCCTTCCCTTTTGCTATGATAATTATCTGCTCCGTTCACGGCTATCCCGCGATATTTCTACCACTTTGATGGCAATTATTACAGCTTGCAACATTACTGGTCGGCAACATTACTTGGCCAAACAGAAAATATCTAGAGGCATTATCATAAATTAATTAGTTTAAAGCGATGCAATATCAAATCCGGTTGCTGCTACTGTAAAGTAAATAGGAGAATTATGTAACTGTCGCTATCCATTCTACAACTTTGTGCAAGAATTATCTAAATCTTCGTTGAGTACTTCAGATTGCAAGGATAATATTAGAAACTAGAAACCAAAGTACTTGGAAAAGTGACCAAAATGAAATTGAACGTGGCGACAAAGATCCATAAAATCGAATTTCTAAGTAAAATGTAATTTATCCTGTATAATGATTAATTGAAGATTTCCGCGAAAAGAAGAAACGAACATTTTGCGTTCTCGTCTCCTCCTTGCGAGAAGAAAGGGCGTATAAGTGCTAATTGGTCCTAAAGGGCGATCTTCCCCCATGGCGCCACGATCTGGCGCCTACACATATGGTAGCCTTTGAAGCCATAATTCAGCGCTCGGTTGATTTTGAGGGAACACAGGGTACAAGGAACTTAAACTATTTCAGGTGCCCTAGCCTACGGAAGTCGCAGACGTTATCGCAATTTATTGCAGTGCATCTTGTTCGGAACAACTTCCGCGAAATGTGTTTCCATTTAATCACAATCTTACTTAGTTCCAGTTCTTCTCATTATTACGAAATTTAATGATACAATTTTTCTCGTCTACAAAAAAAGATATTTACAAACGAACGATTTTTGTTCTTTCACTACGAATAATGATGTAAATTATGTAATATGTACCTGAGTTTCAGTCAGCTTCAAACTTTTACTGAGCTGTAACCTCTTCGTCACGCTCAGGTATTTGTTCCTCTCGAATTCCGCTTCCAATGATTTAATTTGCGCCGCGGTGAACGCAGTGCGAGGCCTCTTCTTTCTTTCGTCATCACTAATGATGCTGTCACTTTTTTCTTGAACCTCTCTATCCACACTTGTCGTTGAATTGGCACCGCTACTGCTAGTGCACGCCTCTAGTAACATCATGAAAAAAAATTGCACACATTTCATATATATATATATCGTGATATACATCGGCGAGAACTGATAATTAAACAACATTTCCTTATCGTGTAATTATCGAATAATTGCGCGACGCTAGTCATGTTACCTCATCATGATTAAGAGGAATGAAAACACGCAGTGATTAAATGAGATCTAATAACATATATCTCATGTGAGATTAAACAGTAGACTGCCGCAAATTATAAACTATAACATTATATTCAATGTTTGATCAGAAATGAATGCAACTAGATTTAAACAACTGAGCATAATGACAATGATCTATCATTAATGATGAAACGGTGTTTTATCATCAGTGCCGCCTAACGTTCTCATTTTAATTGCTTTTAAATTAAAGAGATCTTTAAAGAGATATATAGCGCAAGAATGGCGGTCTTTTTTTTTTCAACTTAAACAGATCCAATTACCCCTTTAAGATTTCTTTCCTCATCAATCTCGTTACTTTTTTCCTCCATCGAAGTTGTTTATATTTATATTTATCCCGAGCTTACAAGCCGCCAGTACAAGACGTCGCGCCTCGCCCATGAGGAATGTCTTTGGGGTCTCTTTTAGTCGACTGGTAACAGGGCCGCGTTCTAACCAGCGGGGATCATCTTCTAATTATCTGCCCATTCGTCATCCGACGAAAAACCATGGCAGCACGACGCTCATCGTTGAATATATGTACGTCTGCTACTTTGAAGGAAAAAGTATACTACCGACACAGCGATACCATTCGTTTCACAAACTCTCCATCCTATTTTATTATCACATTTGGGATAATGAAGAGCGCACAAAGCTATAAAAGCTAAAGACAGTTTTAATATTAAGATTTAATATTAAAACACATTGTGTAATTAAATCAAATTCTTTGTTGTAATAAGTATCTCGTGTGTTTGAACAAGAATTTCGGATAGATAAGAAAAACTCGTCTATCATGATGTCAAACCTGAAGAGAATCGGTTATTTTCGCGTCGATAAATCGATGACAAAACCTTCCTCGTTTGCGAGAAGAATGGATCGGTTGGGTCGACCCTTGCAGCCCGAGGTGCAATAAATATCTCGAAAAAAGTATTTGCGGCCTGGTTACAGGGACCGCGGACTGTCGTTTACCGGCTACTAATTGTCAGATGGCGACGTAATTGTCGCGTTTCTCGCGCGTTTTTCGAGACTTCTCTTCAGCCCAGTACTACAGAATCGTCGGCTAAAACTGTACCGCCTCTAATTCACTCGGCGTGGAACCACGTCGTGCGACGTGCACGCTTCTGCACGTGTAAATTCAGGAAGGATTCCAACTTGGATGCTGGGAAACAGTACGCGCAGATAATAATATCAAACTGTACAAGTTGCACGTGTTTACATTTTACATTTAAACAATTTCATTAGAATAATGTCTGTGAACAATTGTAAATGTAAAATGGAAAAGGATTAGAAACCCATCTGACTTTTTTTTCCTGTAAAAAAAATCGTAGAGATTTTTTTTCTAAACGATGTTTGTCCAACAAATATTTTTTTAAGATAATGTTATTTACAGGAAAAAAAATCTGAACGTTCGAGCGGAAGAGGAAAATATTTTCGGAGAGTACCGCTTTCTCACGCGGCTCATTTGTCGTCGACTTTCTGACTCGGTTGCATTGACGAACGAGCTCCACGAAGAGGAGGAAGAAGAAGAAGAAGAAGAAGAAGAAGAAGAAAAGGGAAGAAAGGGTTGACGTGGAAGGAAACGGTGCAAAAAGAGGCTTAAAACGTGAAGAAGCGTGCGGAGGAAACCGGCGAGGAGCACCGCGAGCATCGCCGAAATAGAACACCACGCCCTCTAGTTTACCTAATTGCCGCGAGCCACGGCGAACTTGTCTCCTAATTATTCGGTGATGAATGGCGAGAGCACGGGTAGAAATGCGCGATAAACCATGGCTAATTTTCATTCGTTCGGCGTTGCACGATTTCACATTTGTGACCAACCAGCAAGATAATTAATACGTGCGCATAAGTTGTACCGATTGGACTCTTCAGACAATAGACAGATTACTAGATCTTTTGTTATCATCTAGAATAGAGATATTCTAAGAGATTAATGACTAAAATCAGAGATCAAGATGTAGAGATTTCAACAAAGGATATAGCATATTTTATATTACCAATTAGACAATTGTAAGATTGATGATCAATGAAGATAATGTGTTATGCGTTAAATAGATGCATCATTATATATTATTACGAAGTTATGAAAATTATTAATATTAAAATTAAACCGAGAAAATTTATTAAAAATTAGAAAAGACCATTTATGATAAAAGAAGAACATTTTTTTTTTAGACGATTTTGTTCGTTCATAAAGCAGTTTTCGTAGAGATTTACGCGTTGCGTTGACGGCTTTGTAGTTGGACGCGACGTCCCACATATCTCAGTCGAAACGCATGGCGCAAACGAGAATTGTCCTTTCCTTAGATCCCGAATTTATCGCGGTGACCATTACGTTGTGTAAATCACGCGAGACAAGGGTCCTTGGTGAAAATTAGTCGTCGAGAATCTAAGACTCCCTTTGTAAAATGGAATTGAGTTGAGCCAACTATCAATAACTCTTTGTACATCATACTTGGCATTATGATGACAAAATGAACGGTTTTAGTAGGAATTTCTATAAGCGTTGATCTATGATTTTATGCCTAATTATAAAAAGTAATTTATCGCGATAATTTATTTCTTATTAATAAGCAATTGATAAGTAAGTTGAGAAGCGAATATAAATCAAGATTTTTTTTGTAAATAAATAAATTTTCTGAAAATGGAAATCGAATCATAATTAATTGATTCTAATACTTTTTTTTTTTCTTCATTTTATAGAGACGCGGAGGCATATTTTGCTGCATTTCCATGGCAGAATTAGCAGGAGACAGATAAATAGTGGACGAGAAGCAGGAACATTGAGTGGGCGTGGACCCTGCAGGAAGTAATGGATCAAACTCACGGGTAACGGTCCTCCGCGCAAACTTACGAATTTGTTACCACGTGAAGGAGGCATGTGGATTCTGTAACAATTACTCCCTTTCAAACTGGTAACAATATCCGAATTAAGTGGAAACAATTACCCATTATTACACAATGTGTAATAACCGCGAAGTTGAAACATACAAAGTATGCAATCTTGATCTTTCGTGTTGGCATTGGAATATTTGCGTCGTCGTACGTTGTCACACGATCTTACGACATGTTTTATTGATTATTTACTCGGAATTTAACGAGAAGTTTCTAGATAATGAGAAGTAATTAAATTTAAACGGATAGTTAACAGACTGAATGATTAGGATTTTAAAAAAAATATCAAACGATTTATATTTTAGTGCTGATTTCATATTTATCTATCTGCCGTACAATCGAGATATCTTCATCAAATCGCACAGTTTGAGAAAATATAAACACGCGATGTCTTAAATAGCAATCTTTCAACTGAAATAACTCGATTGTTTGCGAATTAAAATATTCGTGCATTTTCTCTCCGTGTTTTCACTCGATATACTTTTATTAAGTAATTTGACAAAGCAAACACAAGTGTGCGGCACCTGTATAATTTGTTCAGTTACACCGTATAATCTCACAAAACAGAGTCTGTCATTAGATTGAATATCGTAAACGTCATTTTATCTTTAATTTCTCGATGTTTACCGATTCGTTTAGAAATAGATACGTTTTACTTAGTTATCAATAATAATCGATCTTTCTCTTTTTAATAGGATCGTCGAATATTTTTCAAAATTTTTCAGTCTTTTCAGAATAATAATTTCTTTGTAAATTAATTGTAATGAAAAATTTTAGAATTTAAGAATTCGATTCAACTTACCATAACACATTTCTGGTTCGGGGGATGTGGAGCAAACCATATCGGCATCGTCGAACTCGATTTCCTCTATCATCGACATGGACGAATCTGGCGCTACCAGTTTCCGTCCCTCCGAATCATTTGCTGTTTAAACGAATTTTATTTTCTAATTTCCCCGTCTAATTTTTGCATAATGAGAAAGAAATTGTATACACTTACATTCATGACCATGTAAATACGTTTCGGTTTGAATAGACAAGCAAATTTCCTTTTTAACAGGGTTTTTGCTGGGCGCTAAGAGACTTTCGATACTGAAGGAGCATACTTTTGGATTTTCAACCAATTTGATCGAATCTTTCCCGATTTCTGTCGTTTTCACGCGTTCCTCCGACATCCTGAATCCTCGCCGTTCTCAAATGTTTAATACTATTATCTATAGACTTATCACCAATCGGATAGAACGATCGATTAGATATCCTCTTCGATACTTTCAAGATATATATATATCTAATGTTTCTCTAAATCTTTTCAAATTCACTGCACGTATCTCCACTGATTATCACTATCGCATCACAAGCACTACCTGTTTGAACGTTGCCTCTCAAGTTCAATTTACATGTATAATTAATGAAACATTTTTAGTTTTAGTTTTGAATGAAAGATGGAACAATATTGATCGATGAAGTTGCAACTATGAAATCGATTTAAACCATTCATAGATACTCTGTGATCCGTTCGCGGGATTAGAGTTGAAACCAGCGACTGATTGTCGGGGTTGCTCGCGATGTCCAACAATATTTTTTTTGGCAACCAAGTCAAATTCTTCGTTCTTCGAGGCGGTGTCGAAAAGCCACGTGCTCATGACGTCATTGTATTTCCAACCAATCTTGAATAAGTTTGGGCGGTTCTTGGCAAGCACGTGCGTTTCTGGAAGGAGCCCCTAATGATCTCGTACAACGAGACGGTAGCAGTCACTAAACGGTGGTAATGAGGTATCCATAAATTTCTGTCACCGCTGTGAAATGCTATTTAATAATTGTCTTGACAAAAGGCGAATGCAATTTGATATGAATTTTCAATCTGTTGCATTTATATCGAATATGCTCGTAAGAATTTCTTATCGGATGAAATTTAAAAAATCAATACGATTAATTTCTTTTTAA